CCCCCCCCCAAAAAAACGGCAGAAAATAGATGCATGAAAGGATGGATAAGCGAAGACAGATTCTTGAAGATTCGGCAGTCCATCAAAGTAACAAATGCGACTGATGCCTTTGATAAGGGAAAAAGGAATAATTCCCTCTGGAAGGGGAGACCTCTCTTAAACAGAGCGCACCAAGGCCACAGAGACCAGCCCTGGGTACATGACCATACATTTCCCTTCCCACAACTGCTGAGGCCCAGCTTACGCAATACTTATTATCCATAATAAACTTCAATGTTGATGTCATCCTCTGAGTGTTCACCTTACCCTAAGCAAAAACATCCCCCCGCACCACAAAAAAAAAGGATAATTAATTAATGCATTAAAAAAAACTTAGATGAATTTGAGTTCTCTCTGTGTTAGTTTGAATGGTTTGTTTCTTATTTCTTTTAATTCCAGCTGCATATACCCCTCTCATGCCCACCTCAGCCAACACTTTCAGCAATGCCCCATTCTATGAAGGCAATGTGTCGGCAGGAGGTAAGAAAAGCCCAATTCCTCACATTAATGTTGTTGCATTGACCTAACCTGCTTTTTTTATAGCTTGTTTTATAACTTGAAGATCTTTATCATTGCTGGATGACGGTTCCTGCCCCCTCCGCCTATATGAAGAAGCCTGTAGTTTTATGCAGATGTTTGCCTTTTTAACGAGTTTCGACCAGCGGTCCCCAACCTTTTTCGCGCCACGGACCGGTTCACGCCCGACAATATTTTCATGGACCGGCCTTTAAGGTGTCGCGGATAAATACAACAAAATAAAACTAGTACCGGTACCAAAAAAAGAAGATTTATTCATAACACAAGTAAAAAGACCCAGGAAAACCGAGTTAACGATAAAAACGATAACAGAATAACGCTAAAAACCGATAAAAATCCTGAAAAGCATACATTTCACACCTGAGCCTCAACTCTCGCGGCCCGGTACCAAACGACTCACGGACCGGTGCCGGTCTGAGGCCCGGGGGTTGGGGACTGCTGGTTTAGACTACGTATGTAATAGTGTGAAAGAGAAAAGAGAGTTGAGAAGTAATCAGTGCTTAAGCTAATCTTAAAACTAGAGAGTGTGTCTGTCGCTCAAAACTCTGCCTCCCATTCTACTTATAGAAACTTTAAAAACTGTGAATCTCTGGGGGAGGGGGGGGGTTGTGTTTTTGTCATTTTGTATGATGATTTATGTAGAAGTCCACTTTGTTAGTCTAGTTGTCCTGTTTTGAGTTTCTTATATTCCCTGTTTAGTTCCTTATTATTTAGTATTTTCCCCTTGTGGCCTCTGTGTCTCTCTTTGTGTGTCTGTGTTTATATAGGTTGTGTGAGTTCTTGTGTCTTATTTCCTCCTCGTGTTTTATTCTGTTTTCCCCTGGCTGCCATGTTTCCCCATTCAGTCACGTTTCTGTGTCTGTCTGCGTCTCTGTGAATGTTCTCATTACTTCCGGTTTTACTTTCTCTTATCTGTGTGTGCCATGTTTTGTTTCACTTCTCTAACTCTGAAGGTACCTTATCTCATGTTTTATGTTTAGCTTTGCATCCTTTGTCTCGTTGTGTGTAATTAGCCTCAGCTGCGTGTGTGTGCGTTTCCTGTTCTCTCGTCATTACCTGTTAATTGAAGCACTTTGTTTTCTTCTGTCCAGCGTTGCAATCTCCCTGATCCATGGCTGTGTATTTCCCTGTGTGTCTCTTTGTACGATTAGGTTCCAGTATTCCAGTTTAGGTTATTTTCTTTGTGTCACCTACACGCCAGCAAATAAGGCTGTGTTTTTTGAGTTTACTTGAGACGTGAGTGTGTGTTTGGGTCCTTTCCTGCCTGCACACAGCTGACTTATGACAGAATCAGAAATAAACCTGCGGGGTTGCAGTGGAGAACATGTTACAGTTCTGTTCTGATATGTAAATTTATTAACTGTATTTTGCCTTAATTGTGATTTCATGGTGACTTATTTATTTATTACATTTATTTGACTTAAACATGACAGTTAATACAACAACAAAAAAGGGGCGGGGTCAAATTTTAATATCAAAAGTAAAATGAGATGCATTACAATATTCTGTCACCATTTTTGGGTGTGAGGTTAACATGCTGGTTTTAATCTTACTGGAATAGCTAACGCTAGCGTGGGCAGAACCCTCTTTCATTCGCACCACAAATTTCTCTGCAGGATCAGGCTTGTTCAGCTGCACACATAATGTAACTTTGTATGAACTGAAGTTTATCTAAAAAAATTGTCATGTTCCACATGTCACTGTTTAACCAGTTTGATGAATGAGTCTTCTGAAGGAAGATAATGTGAAATATGATACCTTTCCTTTTAATTCATGCAAGGGCGTAGATTTGGCATGGACGGAATTAAGGGAAATGTCCCCACCAATATCCAGCGATTATTGAATTGTCCCCACCAATAATTTGATCTCTTTGAGTAAAGAAAAACAAAGCGATCTGTCAACCTCTCATTCACGCAGCGGTGCAGAAAGAGTTAAATTACGTTCTCTACTGGCGTCCTATATCATGTGACAAATATAGCCAATGTGATTGGCTGTGCCTTTCAGGGAGCTCTGTTTAGTTTTAGCAGCGGCAATCCTACGCTGTGAGGACCTGCAAGTAGGAGAGGAGGATGGCAGGAAAAAGTCATTTACCTGGCAGGAAAAACGGCGCCTACGCGGCTCAAACACTAAAAAGTTTGATTATACTTTACGAGAACGGAAGACAACAGGGCAACTTGCAATACTTGCAAAGTAGATATTTCATTTAAGGGAGGAAACACTACCAAATTGCAAACGCATTTGAACAAAGTCTGTAAGTTGTAAAAAGCTTTCAAAAAACGCATATAGATTTTGTTTATTAAGCAGTTTCTCTTGTATACAAACATGAAGGAAAAAAAATCCTCTTTGAGGTTAAAATTATGCTAGCTTACTCAAAATTACTCAAAAGCATTGGAACTAAATTTTAGGAACAATGGCAAGTTTTGAGTCTTTTAGAAGGGGAAAGTGTCATGTAAATGTAATCTTAATTTTAGTTTTCTGAGCCATTATTCTGCTGTCATGTCAGTAGGAACTGATATTCCCATAGATGGATATAATCATTTTTCTAAAATTAATAATTCCAAATAAAAATAAATAGAAAGGGAAAAATCTGTGTGAAGATGGCAAAAAAATTGTACTTATAATGTCGAGGTATTTTCTGTTTTGCCTGCATTCAGTGATGCGTGAAATTTGTGTTACACCGTTATCAAATGTTTGTTTTTTGTTTTTGTTTTTAGGCCAAGCTTAATTAAAGCTGGCTTTTCTGTTTTCGACTTTTAGTTCTGCATGTTTGCTGAACGAGGTTGGTGGTATAGGGCCCAAACCTCCTAAGCTGTTCGGTTAGAACTTTAGTTTGAATGAAAATTTTTAACTTCATCCAAAATATTGGTTTCAATGGTTTGTTTCTTGTTTATTCCAGCTATGTACCCACCTGTCATGGCACCCCAAGCCAACATGTTTGGCAATGTCCCAGGCTATGAAGGCACTGTGCCAGGAGGAGGTAAGAAAAGCCCGGTTCACATAATTCCTCACATTAATGCTGTTGCTGGTACTTGAAAATTTGTCATTGATACAGGAGGTTTCCTGCCTCCTCCCATGCCCATGGAGCCAGTAGCTCCACCCCAACCCGCCCCTGAAAATCCTGAATGGAGGTACGACATATTATCTGTGTCTTTCAGCTGCTCAACAATCAGTAGAATATTCTGGTTTAACACAGAGTTTGTGTGTTTTGTAGCATCCCCTCTCTGTCTGAAAATGCAGCTCGCGAGGCTTTAGAGGAATTTGTGTCGTCTCATTGCTGCTACGGTGACGCACCAGTCACTCAGGGAGTCATCACCTCCATGGAGCCATTCAACACATTTAGGGTGATTAAATGTTCCCTTTTTATAATCAGTCCTCATCAGTCCTCAGCATCAGTGATGCTGAGGACTGAGTTACCTGCTTTTACTATCTCTGCAACAGAATGGTTTGAACTGTTTGTACTCATAGTTTTCTAAACATTTGACCAAAGGACATAATTGAATGATAATGAACTGTTAAGAATAAACCTGTGTAAGGATTTTTTTTTCTCAGAAACTTGAGGGCTTTTAGTAAGTGTCCAGACTGCTTGAAGTAGTAGTTTGCCAGACTTTTCATCACACTCCTCAAGATCTTGCAATTGAAGCTCAAAGAATATGGAATACCGGTTCCAAATACTGGTTTTACCACAAAATTTGTTATGCAGTAATATGATGCCCAGTTATATGAAACCAAATTGGAAATACATTGTATGTTACAAGTTTAAACAAATTGTGGATTTAATATCACAACTATCTCAGGTTCTACACTTTTAACAGTGAGAGTGAAAATAGTTCTTGTTATTCAATATTTTCACCCCCATTTGTCTCCATCTTATACTTATTTTGACAATAAGATGTTTTTTCTCATTCTACATGTGCATTAATACAACTCTTTCCTGATCCAGAAACAGACTGAAGGCTCATACAGTACCAGGCTGACAGGCAATAGCTGCATGAGCAGTGTTATTGCAAAGTCCTTCTAAGTGATGACATCTTGAGCATGCAGAGACAAAATAAAGGCAAAGATGTGTTGTCAAAGAGGACAGTCTCAGTTCAAAAAACTGTTTCACATCAGTTTAAAACAAACCTTAACTTGCACATGGCTGACATGTGACCTGAAAAACCTTAAAGTGACATTCAATTGTGAATAAAATCATAACGCCTGTAACTTGTATCTGACACAACAAATATGCTTTTATTTTAACATGTCCAGCTTTTTGCACATGATGCATAGAAACGTATGTTTCACTTTCACTCTGATGTGAAATATAGAGAAATTAGCCCAGTAATGTTATCAGCAAATCCAGTTTCTCTCAGTAAAGTCTGTTTTTTGTTCCTTAGTACCGTCTGGAGACATTCACTGAGTCCAGGTCAACTGACTGGGCCCACAAACCACATGAAGGTAAACGCACATTTTCATTTTGTTAAATCCAAACCTGATGTGGAGCCATTAAAATGGTCATTTTCATTTGTTTCCTTGAGCCACCATGTTCTGTTGTTATAGAGCAAGGCTGGATGCTTTTTAATCTGATGGTAGAGTTTTGTTGTTTCCTGTTACCAAACCACATTTTTCACTTTGTTCTTGACCACACTCAAAGTTTATGGCCTTGTGAGGGATTAAAAACAATAGTGTGATACTCAGAGCCTATTATGAATCAAACTCCAGAACAACTGATTAATCAATAGTGTTTTACCTGAAAGAGTTAAACCTGGAAACACTTGCTTTTGTTTTCATAATAATGAAATGCCTTTTTTATTAATCCTTGCGTAAATCTACTGACATTGCAGTAACTTACTATACTAGTAGTTTATTGACTGTCATTTTCTGTGATCTCGTGTATTTAAAAGGTGAGCCTGCTGACTTTTATGCCCAGCCCGCTCCACGACCATGGGAGGTCCAGGCCACACCCCCCAAACTTTTCAGTGACCACACAGAGAAGATCCGGGTGCCCTACACGTCCTCCGTCAAGGTGGCTGAATAACAAAAGCTATCTGTCAAAGTGCTGGGTTACCTGCAGTTTAGTTCTGAGCTTTAAGCTTGAAGATATATATACGTAAAGAATGGGATACTTGAAATCTGTGAAGATTTGAGTTCCTGAATGAGCTGGTTTCTAACATAGCACGAGGTGTCAGTGCTATAGCCACATGTAGTTTTCACTTTAGCTGGAGCTCTAATTAGAAGTTAAACCATGAACACAAACTGTGTGTGAGGAATCTAAGGAGAACTCCCCATCAGTGTGATTCTGAAAAGTTTTTACCTTTTACTCATTTTTATTTTTTTGTGTGTTTGTGTTTAGCAATGCCACACGTGCAATGCAGCAGGTACTGAGCAATGCAAGGAGTGCAGTGGAAGTGGAAAAGTAAGGAAACTCTCAATAGTAAATAATAAGACATGAAAAGTCTGATCAAGGTACAATTAAAACATTTGCTTATTTGTGTCGTTGTAGAAAACTTGCCCGATGTGTAATGGTGCGGCAAAGTCCGATCCAGCCTGCACTCACTGTAACGGCACAGGCAAAGACAGGTACTGAATGGTCACACAAACTGAAAATAAAACAGAAAAAATACCAGTTTCAAAGCTTACATTTTGTATTATCTTCATCTACCTTTTTCTTTTTAAACATGCAAACTAATAATGATACGCCGAATTAAACAATTACAATTGAAATGATTCAGTGTTAATAAATTGGGATCAGACCTCCTATTCTTTTTTTTTTCTTTTTTTTTAATGTTGGCAAGCAAGTACAAGAATTGTCTCCTGAAATTCATAAATTTTAGATTCTGATTATTTTGAATTTGTGTTTTCAAATAATTTATTCACTATTAACATTTTAAAGTCAAAAACACAGCTTAATATATTGCAATTTGATTAGATCATATTTGCATGAAAATGTTGGGGTTATGAGCCTGTAGAAAATAATGTCAGTAGGGATTGTTGGCCCCTATAGGTGAATTTCTATTAATAAAACTGTTTGGACACCCCTGTACTATACTATGGAGCCTCTACCTCACGTTTTCCCCTTCAGATACAGGTGATCCAATCAAACGCAACAATACACGGTTTAAACCCCACTTCCGCTTAGAACTATTTGGTGAGCTGTGCGAAGTAGATATCTACTTATCAGACTCAGAAAACAGCCAGCTGGGATGATGATGGACTTTTTCTCTATACAGGGAATGAGGTGACTCTTTTACATGTACTGAGCAGAGCATGAGACTTTCAGAGTTTGAGGGTTTATAAACTTGTGAAAAAAAGGCTTCATAATGTGTTTGTCAGCATATGGACTGCAAGTTCTAACATGAATAATGAATTGAATTACAGTCAGTTAACAGCTAAGCTTTTCATTCAGGCATTCGTATGGTCCTCTCTGTTGATCAATCACAATAGCTATTTATTTAGTAACTTTAGTTTTTATTCTGAAGCTGTGGTGCTGAATGGCTTAATGAAAATTGGAATGGATTCAGACAACGCCCTTCTCAGACACACACGCACACACAGAGTCATGTCATCAGTACTGTCGTGGGACCGTGTCAGTTTATTTCAGGTGGTTTGAGACACCTCTGGGAGGCTTGCAATGCCCTGCAGCATGTTTTTCCTGGGCTACTTGTGTGTCTGTCATTTTCTCAGAACCTTTAGCCTATTTTTTTTCCTTAGCAGTTTTTCTCTTTCTTTTCAAGAGTCCACCGAATGAATCACTTTTTCTTCTTTTTCTGCATGTCCATTCATTTTCTGCTTAAATCTCTGCTCATGTCCTCAATGATGCTTTATTTTACTCAAATTAAAAGCAAAAGTAGAAGTGTTACAAAAGCAAGAAAAGCCTCATTAAACAATTGTTTTATATATGAATGTTTTATAAAATAAAGGGTTTAACAATTTAAAGAGTGAAATAAAATGCTGTTGTTGCTATTTGTTGCTCTTTTATCTGACGCTACGGACTCAACTGATCATCTGTCTGCTCCCATCTGCCATCTAGTTATCCCACAATAACTGGGATAACTTTTTGTAAAGAAATGATCATCTGGCCCAATAAATATGAGCAAAGGAAGAAATCAGTCAAAAAATGTTCAGCAGGATGTGAAATCACAAGTTACTTTTATTTATTTAACAAACTTTTAAAAATACATTTGATAATTAAAGTCTTTTATGAGTGTAGCCTGGTTGAAGATGAGCAGCAATATTGACAAAATAAACAAATATCAGATTTTTTTTTAAAGTTAAAATAAAATCTAGAGAATCGATAATGGTCAAGACTGAGTCAAACATATTTAAATGATTTTATTCACTTCAATGTGGACTTTAGTAACAAAGAAAAAATTGGGAAAAAATTTGTATGTCTATAAGTAACCAAAAATAATGAGTCATGTGTCTGTGTGTGTTTAGGTGTACAAAGTGTAATGGTAGTGGGAAAAACCAATGTGAAACCTGTAAAGGAAAACGTCAACTGCTGACCTACATTGAGCTGAAAGTGGAATGGTGAGTACAAGTACAACAGCAGTTTCAACATTCCTATATTTCCTATGATTCCTGTATGAAGATTGGGTTCTTCAAGTGTGTTTTAGGTGTCATTTGGAAAATTCAAATGGTCCTGGAGGAGGTTGCAGAAGTATATAAAGACACTTATATTTGAACTCAATTTAACTCCTTTAAACGGTTTAAATTTGTTTCTAAAGCCCTTGAAGCCAATTTTATGCTACATGTCCTGGATACTTGCAGAGTTAATTAAGTATACTTAAGGTTCTGTTTGAGGTCTGGTTGTTTTGACAGATATTCATGAATTATGTAGAGGAAAATGGTACATGGAGATGTTTTAAAAGGCTTTGAAAAGTCAATGCAAATTAGTTGGTTCTTTTTTTTTTTCCCACCTTAAATATTTTTTGAGGTACTTCCACTGAAATTTTAGAAAACATTAAATATCTTCCACAGACTACTGATGGGGTCCAGTCCTTAAGGATAATACATGAGCCCTGCCCACGGTTTTAGTTGTATTTGAGGAATAACCAGTTTATGAAAACAAAGATTTTATCTTTCAGTGACAGAGTTGCTTAAAGGCTTAAGAGGCCCATATATTTCTGCAGATATCTGACATACAGTATAAACAAATTTTAAAAATCAAACAAGGAAACAAGAGAAGAAATTACACATGGTCATTGTTTCGTTTTACTATCAGTAAAAGTATGTAGCATGTAAAAATATAGCATTAAATTTGAAAGCCATATTTGAATGATAATAAAAAAATTTCTTGATCAGTGGGCACCCCAATATTATTAACAACAGAGATTTATCTGATGTAATTTATCCTGAAATTGAGAAAATTCAGGTTTCGTGAACATTCAAAGCACTGTTGCAAATCCAATATATTCAGTCACTAATAATAATAATGTATACTTTATTGATCCCCGTGGGGAAATTACTTGTTTTTCTCTGCATTTGACCCATTCACTCAGTGAAGCAGTGGGCAGCCACTAAGCAGGTGCACAGGGAGCAGTGTGTAGGGACGGTACCTTGCTCAGGGGTACCTCAGGGTAGCCGTTCAGCGGATTCGAACCCCCGATGTGGTGGCTTACACTGCGTCACAGCAGGAAGATCCTGAGTTCATCTCCATAATCTGGTCAGGGCCTTTCTGTGTGGAGTGGAGTGTTCTCTGTGGGTACTCAGGCCTCCTTTCACAGTCCAAAGACATGCAGTTACTGGTCGTGATTCTAAATTGCCCTTAGGTGTGAACGGTTGTCTGTCTCTCTGTGTTAGAACTGCAACAGACTAGCCGGCTGTCCAAGATGTACCCCACCTCTTCCCCTTGCACTCATGCAACCCTGCTAAGGATAAGCGGAAGAGAATAAATGTTTTTTTGAGTGATGCTTTGGTGCCCTCTAGTCAATAAAGATGAAAATTACATGCTGCGAGTTTAAACTGAAAACAGTAGAAACTTGATTGGTTAAAACTTGAAATGATTGATTCATGTAATATTGTATTCATCAGGATGTAGAGTGTGTGTTATATCTGTATTTATATTTGATGGATACAGCATGAATATAGTTCATATCTGTGTGTTTGTGTTTAGGAAAAACCATGTGGAAGATCATCTGGTGGAGCAGAGCTGTGGTCTGAAGAGTGATAACCTGCGCTCAGTAAAAGGGAAAGAGCTGTTCAAGAGCAGCCAGAACCTGGTACACACACACACACACTCAGCTCACACACACACACAAACACAAACAACACACACAACATACACATACACACACACACACACACAACACACACACACACACATCACACACACACACACACACACACACACACACACACACACACACACACACACACACACACACACACACAATGTAGCTTCACTTTGAATCTTAATAAGATTTTTTTTTTTTAAATACCAAAATTTCATACAAAAAACTACATCTCAGTAGTTTCACACAGTAGTTTGGAATGTTATATTCTATGTTTGAAATGTTAAAATAATCTCCATAAATTAAACATAAAGCCACTGCAGGAACTCACCTCAGACAGGTGTAGTTGAGATAAATGTAAAGGAAAGGTTGGGGAGAAGGAAAACACATTGCTGGGGTTAGCGGTGTGAATATTGTGAATTAAACTCTTGCTTCTCTCAGGTCTACCCACTGCTTGGGTTTCAAACCCAGCAGTCTCTCAGGCCTCTGAGCGTCTGATCAAAGAACATCAAACTAAGTATGGCAAAACCTCCAGGATTCTGCAGCAGGTAGGCCGACACACAGCTCAAAAGAAAAATTACCAATCTTCTCCAGTAGTGGAGGGAAAGAAAACAGCTATCCTTGTTCCATCAGCAGTTAATTCTAGTTGAAATATAATTGATTCGAGCTGAAATTCCATTATTTGTAGTTGAAGCAGCAAGGAAAATGTGCAAAGTTTACTTTAGACTTCTGTTTTGAGTCTATAGGCTATAGTGTAGTCACCCCCAGTGGCCAGCCTGTGCTGGTGTGCCTGTGTTACTCTGCAATTTATTGCTTTGCTCTGCAAATTATTTAACTTAACTGATTCCTCAGTTAGTCAATAGAAAAATCAATAGACTGTTCAATTACTCAAGTAATTGACTGCTACAGAAGCTTGAGGGAAAAGGTGACCTATAAAGATAACTAAAGCCATCTTGAATGATGGTGGTTGAAGAGTTAGCTGTTATATAAACACTCAAAAAAGGGGAATTAATTGTTGGAATTTTTGTTAAAGAAAAGGACATAAAGGTTTGAAGCTGGTTGATTGAAGATTAACACAAATCTGAAACGTGGCTAAGAAAAGTGCTCATTTCCTTTACTCCTGCTTTCAGCCAATGCTAAGCAAAGCTAAAGTATTCTGACTCAAGCTGACGCGCTCTGATGCTGTTGAAAGTTTTCCTTTAATATGAATCCCTCCATCTCTCTCTCTTTCAGAGGCAGACGGTCGAGCTGATCCCCATCACTCAGGTGAACTACAAGTGGAAAGACAAGAGCTACGTCTACTACGTGTACGGCAACGAGCGCAAAGTCAGTGCTGACGACTACCCAGAGACCTGCTGCTGCGTCATCCTGTAGACTCACAAATACACACAGCTCAAAGCAATTAAACATGTACTCATTGTTCTCTTTTTTTTAACATCAGTCTTCCTTTTTCCATATATAATGATGATTCATTTATTAGGGTAAGAAAAGCAAACCATACCTGTGTTAAAAAGTAATAGAATATAATGTTCTGTTCAGCATTTTATTAAAATTAAAAAATTAAAATAAAAACTCTATACTGACAGTTAAAGTTGGTGCTGGTAAGTAAGTAAGTAAAACTTTATTTATATAGCACCTTTCAAGATAAAAATCACAGAAGCTAAAACCTAAAAATAAAAATCAACTAAAAGCAAGTTTAAAAAGATGGGTTTTTAGCTGTTTTTTAAAAGTGACCACTGAGTCCACAGATCTCAGGCTCAAAGGGAGAGAGTTCCACAATCTGGGGGCCACAGTTCCAAAAGCTTTGTCGCCTTTTGTTTTCAGCCTCGTGTGCTGGACAGCAAGCAAGCCCTGGTCACATGACCTCAGGGACCTGCTGGGAATGTATGGATGCAAAAGATAATGTCATGGTAATGGTAATGTCACATTGTGAGCAATTTACTGTAATTGATGGAAACGTGAATTCTGCTCTCTACCATAAAATTCAGAAGCAGAATGTCCAGCCATCACTTTGGGTTGTGAAGCTCAAGAACACTTGGCTTATGCAGCAGGACAATGTCTGAAATACAATAGAGTCTACCTCTGAATGGTAAAAATAAATAAATAAAGAACAAAAAGTGAAGGTTTTAAAGTGACCTAAGAAAAGTTTGGACTTATATCAGATTGTGATTTTTGCCGTTCATGCTCAAAAACTCTTGAGCGTGGCTGAATTTAAACAATGCTACAAATAAGAGCGGGCTATTATTCCTCTACAGCGATATGAAAGAGTCATGGCCAGTTATCACAAATGTCTGACTGCAGCTTTTTCTGCCAAGGTTTGCACAAGCTCTTATTAAGTTTAGGTTTAGCGGCAACTGCTTTTTACCCCTTAAGCGTAGAAGGCTGATGGGGTATCGTTGTCACCCCACCGGCCAGGCATGTGGTCGGGTGGTGTGGACACCAAAGTTTGTGAATGCAATAACTCAAGAACGAGGCACTGTAATATCTTAAAAATTGCAATTCTTCATTAATCCCTGAGGACGTTATATAAACACCTGCACCACCAGGAATTGAACCCAGGACACAAGAGTTGTATTGTATTATGCCACTACACAAGCAAAATAAGCTCGGCCTGACACCATACCGTGCATCTACTAGGAAACTGAGGGTTAGCACTGGCGGCTGCCAGTATTTTTCACATAGTATCAGGTAGGTTTGGTTAATGTTTTTCCCTTGATGAATGAAATCATCAATTAAAAAGTGTATTTTGTATTTTCTCTGGTTATCTTTGTGTAGAATTAAAAGGTTTTTGATTTGAAACATTAAAGTATGACACATATGTTAAGAAGTAAGATATCAGGAAGGGGGTGAATACTTAATAATGTAAGTGGTCAAGCTAAAGGAATAATTGTGATATTTCACATCTTATAATGCTTCATTTAGAGCTACTGTATCCATACAACCCAGTCTCATAGGAAAACATAACAGACTGTGGGGATTATATCATTTTATATCATGTTTATTCTCTTAAATCCTTTTTATTAAGCTTTGAGTAGCATTTGATTACAACATTTATTCAATATATATTACACATATAGTTTCAAGCATGTTATTACATATATTGTAAGAATGTGTTTATGAAAGAGTTGGCCTCCTGTCTGGTAAGAGGTTACAAGCTTTATCTGGTGAGGTGAGGTCGAGACAGTTCGCCTGCATACACAGACAGTATATAGATTCATTTCTAGGTTAGAGTTAAGACATATTTTGCTTGTAACTGCATTTTGTGCCTGCATAAGCAACAGTTTTTGTAGAATGTGTTTCTGATGTTCCAGAGATGTTTGAGTGTGTGTCAAAGGTTGTCAGCAGAAGAGCTGTGGTTACTGTAACTTATGCATGTTATGTATCTGCTTTGACGCATGAGGGGGCGTTATACCCTGACATATAAAAACATTTTAAGTATGCTGTTTTGGGGGATTTATGCTGAGGATTGTGATGGTGTATTTCCTTCACACGTGTTTAATAAAATCATTGTTTTGATGCACTTGGACCAGCAGTCGTTTGTCTCACACCTCAATCACGAATCGGGACAAGACACACCGGTCCACTGCATCCATTTCACACTTTGCTTCTCCAAAAAGTGAAACGGACAGGCACGCAGAAGTTGCATCACCAGCAGGGGTAGATAATAAAAATAATAATATTAAAGCCACCAAGTCAGTAGTGAACAAAAAACATATGATGTACATTCCAATGTCCTTAATCACCAGAAATGATTAAGCAGGGCAGATAATAATATATATTTATATATGTAAATAAGTTCATAATGTCTGTTTAAACACTTTCCTGTGATTATTTTCATGTAGGCTTGAAATAAAATATCTCCCTCCGCTGTTACTGCAACTTACTGCAAGTTCTGCATGCGTGTCCTTATCATACTTTGGAGATATCAGATGAAGATGATTCAAATTTTTGCAGGGACTTAAGGACATTTAAATGTTTTTATATAATAGAGAATTATGAATATAATATGTACCTTCACACGATGTTTATGGCAAGTCGCTGTAAAAAAAACTGCAGCACTTTGTGAAGGATGGATACATTTGGGCTGGGTTTATTCACATTTACAATAACAGGAAATGTTTACTGTTGGTGATTTTTGTAATATAATGATGTTGCCAATCAAACTACTATCCTATAGTTACCAATTGCTGTACACTTACTTACTCTTTCTTACTTCCCACTTAATTTCACTTCCTGTGGAAGGTTTTTGCTATGCTCTGAAGGCAAAAACCAGCCTCATGTGCCTCTAACTGAAAGTGTTTCTGTGTTACCAAAAAGTTTACTCCAAACATGTGCCAGTATGTGCCACTATAGCGTCTTCAGCATGACAAGAAAACATCCTTTTATCCATCTAAAACTTTCAAAAACAATGACGTGCTGCTTTCTGTATGTGTGACTTCAACTTTAAACAATGTGTGATTAAATGTTTCCTCTAGAGAAAAATCTGACTAATCACAGTTGAAAGGTGAAATAAAAACATGAGATGATGGCATTAGCCTGTGGGTTAACCTCTTAATATGTTGCCTTTATGTAACCAAGGTAACATCTGACCCCACTTCCGGAAATCCCTTCATTGTGGTGGGAATGAACTCTGTATAACTTCCGGGTCAATCTGCTGCACCTCCCCTGCTACATGTCATCCCAGGATGCATTGTGTGCATTGTGTCACTTAACCACTGCCTAGGCATGCTGTAAAATGATTCAAATTAATAAATTTGAATCTTAGTTTTATGTAAGGGGATGTTCTAACACTTCTAAAATATGTTACAACCCACCCCACCTCTTTATTAGTCCTTTATTTATCCAGGTAAAATCTCATTTCCAAGAGGGACCTGGCATCATGGCAACAAAAGTCACATACCACATAGGTATATAACATTTAAAACAAATACAATATCCCATACCAACATGTGTAAAATATACAATAACAGATCAAATTAAGAGTACATTAAAAACAATCACACTGAGTAAAAGAGCAGGGGCAGCATATTTAAAAGCCTTTTCCCCAATTCTTTTCTGATTTTTGGGACAATCAATTGTATGATATTGTGCGAACGAAGGCTGTATTGGTTGTGGTTTTTACACATATAGACACATAAATAAGATGGAACCAGCCCAAGGAGAGATTTATAGATAAAGATCAACCAATGGGAGAGTCTGCGAATATGCAAGATGGACATTTAGCAGCAGCATACAAAGAACAATGATGTACACGATTTCCATAGCCAGTAATAAAACGTAAAGCACAATGGTACACAGTATCCAGCCTCTTTAGGTAGTGGGCAGGTGCATTCATAAAAAGCAGGTCACCATAATCCAATAAAGGTAAAAAGGTTGCACGAATCAAATGTTTTCTCACTTGGAGGGAGAAACAGGATTGGTTTCTAAAAAGTAACCTAGTTTTAGTTTTAACTTCGACACAAGCCTTTGAATGTGAGTCTTAAATGGCAAATTCTGATCTATAATGATCCCTAGATACTTGTAAGATGTGACCATTTCAATTTCAGTTCCTTGAATTGTTTTAATCTTAGGAGACGTAGCTAACAACTCTTTGCCATTTGAGAATAACACGAACTTGGATTTCTCTGGATTTAACACCAACTTAAGTTGAGTTAAATGGGACTGAACGACATCAAAGGCAGACTGCAGAAATTGCAGGGTTTGTGCTACTGAAGGGGATGAACAATAAATAACTGTATCATCTGCATAAAGATGAAATGCTGCATTTGACAAATTATCACAAAGGTTGTTTATGTAAAGAGAAAATAGCAATGGCCCTAATATGGAGCCCTGCGGAACTCCTTTGGATACTGGGAGAAAAGAGGAAGAAGACCCAGCAGCACGGACACACTGTTTTCTTGCTGACAAGTAATTTGAAAACCAACTTACAGCATTTACAGATAGACCAATATTGTTTAGTCTATTTAATAAAATAGCATGGTCAACTGTATCAAAAGCCTTTGACAAGTCAAGAAAAAGAGCAGCACAGTATTTTTTGCAGTCTATTGAATCAACGATGTCATTAACCACTTTAATAGCATCAGTTATTGTGCTGTGTTCTTTTCTGAATCCTGACTGATGTTGGGAAAGAACTGAATTTTTGTCCAAAAAGTCTTTCAGTTGTTCACTAATGAACTTTTCTAGAACTTTTGCTAGAACACACAATTTAGATATGGGCCTGTAATTATTAACATCTGAAGGATCACCTCCTCAAAGGGAGAACATAGGCAGATTTCCATATTACAGGGATCTCACTGTTCGAGAGGGTAAGATTAAAAATTTAAGTTATTGGTTCTGCTATAAAATCTGCAGCCAACTTAAGAAAATAGGGATCAAGTTGATCTGGTCCTGCAGATTTATTTAGATCCAACAGATTTAAAGCCCTGTGTACCTCAAAAACTTTTAGCGGAGAAAAACTGAAGGGTTGGACCACAGATTCAGTTTGAGTGGTTGCAGAGGGAGCCTCTTGTTGAAAGCTGTTTTAAATCTGGATATAAAGATTCAAATAGAGATCCTGAAGAAACAAAATGCTCATTAAAGCAGTTTAGAATGTCGCATTTCTCTGTTAAAGTACAGGAGTCTTTTATAACAAAAGTTGGCATCTCATTTGTAGTTATGTCCCCATAAGAAGATTTTATTATTTTCCAGAATTTTTCAGGGTCGTTCAAATGTTTAGTAGTATTTGAAAGATAGAATTCTGATTTGGCCTTTTTAATTAAGGAAGTTGAACGGTTTCTGAGCTGTCTAAAAATCAGCCAGTCCGCTTCAGATTTGGTTTTTCTGGCCTTAGCCCAGGCAGCATCCCTTTTTTTGAGGAGACTGGAGAGCTGAGGAGAAAACCAAGGGTTGTTTCTGCATTTTACTCTAAATTTGCAGATAGGGGCATGTTTATTTATCATTTTGATAAAAGTATCATATAAATAATTCCATGGCAGCTCAAGATCAGTTATTAGGTAGATTCTACTCCAGTTATAGTCCCATAAATCATGAAAGAAAGCTTGCTCACAGAAATGCTTAAAATCTCATTTAAAAGCTATTTGTGGCCTTGATTTTGGGAGCTTCGATTGTCTGACTACAGCTACCACACAGTGGTCACTGATATCATTTGCGAAAACCCCAGTGTGAGAATATTTATACGGCATATTAGTTAAAAATAAATCAATAAGTGATGACTTTTCTGGGCATTTAAGATTTGGACGAGTTGTGCTGTAAATTAGTTGTGTGAGATTATAACAACGACAACTCATCTCTGAGCTCTGGAATGCTGGCATCAAGGCTGAGTTGATGTACAAAAAAAAAAACAACAACTGCTGAGTCAGCTGCAGTACTGTGAGGAAGCAGGAATCCCCCTCGTGGCTATACTGGGAGAACAGTAGCTGAAGGATGGAGTGGTGAAGCTGTGTGTAGTGGCAACCAGAGAGGAGGTCGATATATCCAGAGCAGATCTTATCAGTGAGATCAAGGTGAGAACTGAGGCTTAGCTGCTTCCTGCTTGTTTAGCCATAGACCAGCTGCTTTATCTCATGGGCTCTTCAGAACCGTATACAGAATTCCTGTCATCAATTGTTTAGCTAACTGTATTAGCATAGTTACCCCAAGGGGGTGCATCACAGTTTATCTATGAAATCAGAATTTAATCTCCTGTAAGCCATATCATTTTATCTGCAAACAAAGTTTTGTGTTGTTACATCAAAATCCCTTTTTCTCAATAAAATCTGCACGCCCTATTTCTAGCCCTTAAGTCAGGGATAGAAGTGGGTAAACACTGAAATGATCATATGACTCCTATCTTATTGTTGATTGATGGCATTGGGGGTGTTGCAACTGTCCCCATGTTGCAACCATACCCCTCTACATACCCTGTCCAGTTCTCTCTTGGAAATTAAGGATTTTTTTTCTTTCTTACCGGTACATATAATTTACATTTTTATTTTGAAAGGAGTTTTTTTCTGGAAAATTGGGTCTTTTGCAACTAAAGGTTATTAGAAAATGCACTCAAAGCAGGTGCTTTCAGGTTTTGCCAAAAAATGATTGGTATTCAAACAGCTGTAAACAGGTTTTTAGCCTATAATCTGTCAAACAAATGTCACACAAATCCATCAGGGATTATATCAAATCATTATAAACCAGAAGGAACATTGGTAGAAGCTGCGATCAGTTTCCAGGTTAAAAAAAACGTCATTGACAAGTGAGGATAAGGGGGCAAGAGGGGAGCAGAAATTTCAACAAATGTAAAATCACAATTCTATAGAAATATTTTAAATATTCATTAGGATACGTACAATAACGCAAAGTCAAAATTGTGTCAATCCAGTTGGATGCAGTCTATTCATCAATATTGGTAAATTTACAAATAGAAAAAACATAGAAAAGTTGGATTTGGATCAGGTTTCGGCACAAAAGACCCCAAAGGCCGCGTTTGTGCCGATACCACGAAATGATGATGAACTGAGTTCTAATAGTAAAGTAGAGAAAGCGGGATTTGTTTCTTGCCAAAGCCATTGGTGTATCACAATATAATGCTTGTTTTTCTGCGCTTAAAAAAAGCCTTAACTGCAGCCACAGGATAGACCCTGGTCAGCTGTTTATTGAGCGAGTCACAAGCACACCGCAGGAAAAATAAAGATTTACAGTTTTTCAATTGTTTGCATTCACTGCTTCTATCTTTGATCGTTAACTCGGGGTAGGCGGGCCTGCTCTCCCACCAGGGGGCGTTCCGAATTTCACCATTTAAATGCGGTTCTGGATGACTCTAAGTGTAACGGATTCTGTGAGGCTGATATCAGCGTGGTTGATCTGCAGCAGAATGAACAGCTCAGGTAGGAACTGCAGCACAGGACACACCAGCAGGCTTAGGAACCATCACGACACTGACCACAGAACCCCTGCGGGCTATTCAAAGGCGCAGACGCAGGGTTCGGCTCCTGATAGTCGGCGCTGAAACGCTGTCACTTCTATTAATAAACATTCAGTGCGAAGATTAAGTCAGAATCATGTTAAACTTCAGCATTCACTAAACTGCATTCGTTTGCTTTTTCAGTATATTTTAGTTTTTAAAAGAGGAGCTCCAAACATGATCCACTTGTTTTCCTTTTTGACAGTAAACTGCCGATGAAACTCATCAAGCCACCTGAACCTTGTTTCCTGAAGAATTTGATGCAGACGTTTGCCTTTGTAGTGGACAAAAAAGAAAGAAAAGCAGAAAGAAAGTGGACTTGGGAGGAAAATGCGAATTAACAGGATCTTTCTGTTTTGTACTTTGTGCAATTTCTTTTCTGTAATTTTACACATTTATTTCTTACAATTCCAATTCCAAAGAGTCACACTGACATATTTCTATCATTAACGTCAGCAGTGTTTCGTTATCATGTAGAAAAACTAAGAGATACTATAAGACTTGCGTGCATTTCTTTTAGATTAATGCATCTCAGCTAAATGTGTAGTTAAACTTATTTCTATTGTTGGAAAGACCAGTGGTCCGGCCGCTTAAATTTAAAATGGGGTGAGTGTGGCCCATGTTTTAAAATTAGTTTGCCATCCCTGCTTTAGACTTAACAAATAAGGACACATATGGATTGCTAAACTCTGAAAGAGAAAACAAGGTCAGATTTTCAGTATCTGATTTAAAAATAAGTTTAATCAACTCAGGTGAAGAAAGGGAGTGCAGACCTAATATAATGTGCTCAATTTAGGCATAATGAAAGTCAGGAAATAATCAGTGATGATAATAATAGTAATGCATGATAATAAATAATCTTTTGAGACAAAGACAAAGAAAGTTGAAATGTAAAGATTTAATTTGTTGTTTTGAGTCAAACAACTGGTACGGCTTCTATACCCTTTTCAAAATGCTGTGTTTGCATGAGTTATTGAAACCGTACTGAGGATATGGAAAATATTTCTGTTTTAGCGCATACACACTAGTAACAAGTATAAGGGCGTTGAAGAGATGGTGCAGAAAACAGCATCTGGTCAGAAAGAAAAATAACACTAACCTAGAATAGCTCACCATATTTATACAAAATTAAATAGCTGTAAATGGACAGATGCAAGGATATGGATGTTAACACTGTCATGTTGAGAGAGCTAATCAAGTTGTTTTACTAGTTTCAGTTTTTGGAGTCTTTTTTTCTAGATACTGACCTCGTGCCTTCGTCTGTAATCCCTCATGTGTCAGGTTAACGTAATCATTGATTCTTGAGTTGCTGGAACGGGTGATGGAGTCCTTCAGAGTCTGTGACAAAATGTTAAAGTCTGTCCGGGGCTTTAGGGGCTGTCTGCACACAACCATTATTACCCTTTTCAGAAATCAATGCAGTTTCTTGTCATATCAGTGTTTGTTTTTTGGAGATGTTTGTTAAAATTAAGAGATAAGAGAGAAAATGGTAAAAGAAACCTGAACTAAAAATGTTTACTCTAACACTGGAAATGGGGTTAGTATACTACCCCCATTATCATACTTGTCATACAACAAACATCTTTGAAACTCTTTATTGCATGAGGGGGTAGCAATGGATATCCTTGCATCTGTCCGTTGACAGCCGTTTTAAGTTTTAACAAATCTGGACAACTCTTTAAAATTTGTGGGGTTTGTTTCTTCTGACCAGATGCAGCTTTCTGCACCATCGTAGTTATCACATTTTACTTTTACATTTTACATTTCACATTTACTTATCACATATCACAGAAGGTGAATCATTTCCTTCTAACTAAAACTGATTCTGAAGAATGATTTCACTAACTTATCTACACAAGTCGTTTTGTAGAGCAGCCATGGCAGAAACAAGAACTGTTCAACAGAGTATACCCTTCTGTGTATTTAGAATAGAATAGAATAGAATAATCCTTTAATTGTCCCACGAGGGGAAATTTGGTTTTGACAGCAGCCAGAAAGACACATATTTAAACAAACAGTACACAGGACACAGAACAGAAACATACACAATTTTTTAACTTTTAATTTTTTATTTTTTTTTAACACAATTTAAGTCCTCTGTCTCTCTTTCTTCATTGTCAGGTTGTCTGTCTATCTCATGTCATATCACTGCAAGTCTCAGGATTGTTTTCATGCTTCATGTTCGTGTTCATGTTCATGTTTCTGGTCACCGTTTTTGCATGCGCTGAGTTCCATGTCATAGTTTTTATATTGAGTTTAGGTTATTCCAATTTAGGTTTTGCTTTCCTTTCCCCCCAACTCGCCTTGCCTTGTTTTCTCTTTTGGAAATCAGCCTCAATAAAAGGCCCGGCTTTTGTTATACCTCATTCCCTCTCCTGTGTCTGCTTTTGGGTTCACACTGCAAATACACCAGCCCACCTGGCCGTGGCTAACCATAGCGTGGGCATAATCATTTTTCATTGCACCAAACATTCTTCTGTGCAGGAACAGTCTTATTCAGCTCCAGCCATTCAATTCAATTCAGTTTTATAGCACCAAATCACAACAAAAAAAAACAGAAAAAAAACAATCAGGAAACCTCCTATGAGCATGCACTTTGGCTACAGTGGTAAAGAAAAAAAACCTTTTAAATGGAAGGAATAAGAAACACTCAGTGCATCATGGGAATCCCCCAGCAGCCTAGATCTTTTGCAGCATAACTAAGGGAGGATTCAGGGTCACCTGATCTGTTTGGTTGAATTTTTTGTTTCTTGTTTTTCATTCCAGCTATGTACCCACCTGTCATGGCACCCCAAGCCAACATGTTTGTCAATGTCCCAGGCTATGAAGGCACTGTGCCAGGAGGAGGTAAGAAAAGCCCGGTTCACATAATTCCTCACATTAATGCTGTTGCTGGTACTTGAAAATTTGTCATTGATGCAGCAGGTTTCCTGCCTCCTCCCATGCCCATGGAGCCAGTAGCCCCACCCCAACCCAGCCCTGAAAATCCCGAATGGAGGTACAACATACTACCTGTGTTTCTGAGCTGCTCACCAACCAGTAGAATATTCTGGTTTAACACAGAGTTTGTGTGTATTGTAGCATCCCCTCTCTTTCTGAGGATGAGGCTCGGGAGGCATTCAAGAAATTTGTGTCATCTCATATCTGCTACGGTGAAGATCCAGTCACTCAGGGAGTCATCACCTCCATGGAGCCATTCAACACATTTAGGGTGATTAAATGTTCCACCATCACCACCATCAGTGATTCTGCGGACTGAGTTACCTCCATATCTGCCTTTACTATCTTGATCAGTCTGTTGCAGAGCTCTGGTTTGAGATGCTTTTATCCATAGTTTTCCAAACATTAGACCAAAGGACATAATTGAATGATAATGAACTGTTGAAACATGCATAATGAATTTTTTGGTAGCACTTTCTATTACAGCTAGGTAATACAGGGGTAGTAGTAGGGTAAAAAGGGGGGAAAGGAGTGTAATAATGTGGTAATTTCCAAGCTTTTACTATGCAATTACCAAAGTAATAACCACTTAATATCTAAGTAATATCATGGTAGCAAGAGTGGTTACAGTTGAGTAATATTGCTCAGAAATGTATGTAATAGGATAATGAGAACCCAAAAACTGCACATAACAATATGGAAATACAACTCCACAATAAAGTGGAGTCACAAGGAAGAAACAAGAATGCTATAATGCAGTAATATGCGTTAAGTTATTACCCCTCAATTACCTGTGGTAGTTTCTGTGTAAAAAGCAGGAAACAGAGCTGCAAAATGCAAAACCACCTGTTTAAATTTAATAACATATTAAGAACCTATTAAGCAAAAAAAGTGTGTGATTATTATCTGAAAACAACTGTGGCAGTTTGCCTAATGAAACAGGAAATACAGCTGCAACATGCAAAAAGCATATTTAAAACACACACCTTGTAGGTTGACAGTTAACCTGCTATTACCCCCTTATTACTGAGCTGTAATAGAAAGTGCGACCATTTTCTTCTCAAAAACTTCAGAGCTTTTAGTAAGTGTCCAGAGCTGCTGAAGTAGTAGTTTGCCAGAACTTTTCATCACATCCTCAAGATTCTTGCAAGAAGCTCAAAGAATATGGAATACCCGTTCCAAGTACTGGTTTTACCACAAAATTTGTTATGCAGTAATATGATGCCCAGTTATATGGCAACAACCCGGAAATACATTGTATGGTATAATGTGCGATACTGATTGGGTTTAACAAATTTTGTGTAGGATTTAATGGGAGAGACATTTCTTGCACATGATGCATAGAAACGTATGTTTCACTTTCACTCTGATGTGAAATATAGAGAAATTAGCACAGTAATGTTATCAGCAAATCCAGTTTCTTTCAGTAAAGTCTGTTTTTTGTTCCTTAGTACCGTCTGGAGACATTCACTGAGTCCAGGTCAACTGACTGGGCCCACAAACCACATGAAGGTAAACGCACCTTTTCATTTTGTTAAATCCAAATCTGATGTGGAGCCATTAAAATGGTCATTTTCATTTGTTTCCTTGAGCCACCATGTTCTGTTGTTATAGAGCAAGGCTGGATGCTTTTTAATCTGATGGTAGAGTTTTGTTGTTTCCTGTTACCAAACCACATTTTTCACTTTGTTCTTGACCACACTCAAAGTTTATGGCCTTGTGAGGGATTAAAAACAATAGTGTGATACTCAGAGCCTATTATGAATCAAACTCCAGAACAACTGATTAATCAATAGTGTTTTACCTGAAAGAGTTAAACCTGGAAACACTTGCTTTTGTTTTCATAACAAATGGCTCTTTTATTGATCCTTGCATAAATCTACTGACAATGCAGTAACTTACTATACTAGTAGTTTATTGACTTTTATTTTCTGTGATCTCGTGTATTTAAAAGGTGAGCCTGCTGACTTTTAGACCCAGCCCGCTCCACGACCATGGGAGGTCCAGGCCACACCCCCCAAACATTTCAGTGACCACACAGAGAAGATCCGGGTGCCCTACACGTCCTCCGTCAAGGTGGCTGAATAACAAAAGCTATCTGTCAAAGTGCTGGGTTACCTGCAGTTTAGTTCTGAGCTTTAAGCTTGAAGACATATATACTTAAAGAATTTTCCAGATGAATTTTGATGGATCTTTAGTTGTCCATGAGATGGTTCTACAGCTCATCTTTTCCTGAGTTTATTGAGGCTTTAAAACCATGAACACGTGAAAATTTTTTACCTTTTGCTCATTTTTAACTTTTTTTTTGTGTGTTTGTGTTTAGGAATGCCACACATGCCATGCAGCAGGTACTGAGCAATGCAAGGAGTGCAGTGGAAGTGGAAAAGTAAGGAAACTCTCAATAGTAAATAATAAGACATGAAAAGTCTGATCAAGGTACAATTAAAACATTTGCTTATTTGTGTGGTTGTAGAAAGCGTGCCCGATGTGTAATGGTGCGGCAAAGTCCGATCCAGCCTGCACTCACTGTAATGGCACAGGCAAAAACAGGTACTGAATGGTCACACAAACTGAAAATAAAACAGAAAAAATACCAGTTTTATGACTGTGCATATGCTGGGGATATACGATTAATTACAGTAACTAATTAGAAAAGGACAGATGCAAAATTTCCTAAAAATGTCTAAGCAAAGAAATGCTGCAATAAGTAAAAGTTCAGTAATTTTTTAAAATAATAATAGAAGTAAAAATAAACAAATACCATATTTTTAAAAAATAAAGCAAAATCTGCAATGTCTGTAAGTAACCAAAAATAATGAGTTGTGTCTGTGTGTGTTTAGGTGTACAAAGTGTGATGGTAGGGGGAAAAAGCAATGTGAAACCTGTAAAGGAAAATGTCAACTGCTGACTTACATTGAGCTAAAAGTGGAATGGTGAGTACAACAGCAGTTTCCTATATTTCAGTGGCTTTATCAGAGTCCTTGAAGATTGGGTTCTTCAGTGTCTTTTAGGAACTATTTGGAAAACTCAAATGGTCCTAGAGGAGGTTTCAGAAGTATATAAAAAGTTTTTATACATTTCAATTCATTTAACCTGTTTTTGGCAGATATCCATGAATTATTTCGGGCATTAAAATGGTCCATGGAGAAGTTTTAGAAGGCTTTGAAAAGTCATATTAAGAAATTAGCAAGGTGCTGAGTTCAACTCCACCATCTGGTCAGGGAGTGTGAATGTTCTCTGTGGGTACTCGGTAGGGCCGGACCATATCATACCGTTCACGGTAATACGGTATAATGTTGGGCAACGATAAGAAAATGAAATATCGCAATAGAATATGGGTAAAACGCGCATGCCTTTGTTTTCATACGCACATGGCGGAAAAAGCATGGCGGCGACGAAAAATGAGAAGGGCGAAAGCGGATCATTGAATGAAACAGATGAACCAGAACTGGTTTGTAAAAATGCTGCAGCATCAGTGATGTGGAACTGGTTTAGCTTTCGTCCGTCAGATACACAACAAAGCACTATTTTTGGTAGAGCATGCTAGCGGGCCGTCGTTATTACCGTGTTTTTTGGAAAATATGGCGCACTTAAAATCAATCCTTTGATTTGTCTGAAAGTCGACAGTGCCCCTTATAATCCCGTGTGCCTTATGTATGAATTCTGGTTGTGTTTACTGACCTCGAAACGATTTTATGTGGTACACGGCGCTCGAAAATCTGTCAAATGTTTCGGTATGACTAAGCTACGAACCCACACGGCTATCGCTGGCAGGCGCCTCGTGGAGTGATACGTACTGTGCTTCAACATAATATTACCGTATTGTGTGTGTATAACCTCTTTTTAAGTTTTGTGGATATTATACATGGTTATGCTGAGGATATGTCAGCCAATTTCCACTGGAAATGCCTTTTGGTTAAACTGTCAGCAACTAATAAAGTTGTGGAGTTGTAAAGTGTTTTGTCTAGTGTCAATTATATCGTCAGTTATATCGTTATCGCAAATTTTCAAATGTATATTGTGATAAATATTTTTGGTCATATCGCCCTGCTCTAGTACTCCGGCCTCCTCCCACATCCAAGGATTGGGGTTAGATTAACTGGTGATTATAAATTGCCCTTGGGTGTGAACGGTTGTCTCTCTGTGTTAACCCTGTGACAGACTAGCAGTCTGTCCAAGGTGTACCCCGCCTCTTCACCTATGGTAGCCTGAATAGGCTCAAGCTCCGATGCAACCCTGATAAGAACAAGCAGAAGAGATATGATTGTGAAGGTTCTTGGTCATCCATGTTATCATAGTCTAAAGAAAAGACGTTTCACCTCTCATCTGAGATATGAGTTCTTTAGAAATAAGCGGAAGAGAATTAATGGTGGTTTGACAGATGCTTTGGTGCCCTCTAGTCAATATAGATCAAAATTACATGCTGCAAGTTTAAATTGAAAGCAGTAGAAACTGTTAATTGTTTAAAGCTTAAAATGTATTAAATCATGTAACGTTGTATTCAGCTGGGATGGGCTCCAGCGCCCCCCGCGACCCTGAAAAGGATAAGCGGAAGCGAATGGATGGATGGAACGTTGTATTCATCAGAATCTACATTGTGGGCCATTTATATGGATACACCGTAATAACATGGGAATGGTTGGTGATATTAAAGTCCTGTTTGTGGCACATTAGTATATGTGAGGGGG